GGGGGAGGGACATGCTGTGCAACGGGTGCGTTGCCCGTACATGCAAACTAACACGCCGGCGGGCTGATACACCAAACGTGACGTGAGCATGTTGACGAAGTTCGAATGATAACAGCAGATTGACTGGTGCTCGAAGATCGATGCAACCGTTAAACTAGCCGAGATGAAGACGACGGGGGGCATTTTGAAAGAAGCAACCCCCAAAGCGCGGCAAGCTGTATAATATGTAGTACCTTGATCCCCCTTGCTTCCAGCTAATTTTTCGATGGCCGCGCGGTCCCCTTAATATTTATCAGTATGATAACACTGGATACAACCGGCCAGAGGGTACGCCGGGAGTGGACCAAGGCCAGCGGTGAGAGTCATGCGCGGCCGGCGCAGGAGGGGGAAACGCCCACCACAAAGTGACGTCCTCGATTTTCGGAAGTACTTCAGGGAGCAAGACAAGTTGTTCAGGGTGACTGTGCCACGGCGGATCGCCATGTTGATCTGACCTACCATTGTTTTGTATTCGTGTAGGGTGCTTTTATTTCCTGCTTGTTGACGCTGCCAGGCATGTGTCGTGCCTATTACGCGCCTGTGTTTGTCACATGACGTCGGTTGATCTGTTGTGACCGCAATAATATCTCTCTCGAGTGCACTGTCTGCTTCTCCACCTCCCAACGGAAGCACGAGACCATGAAGAGGGGGTTGATGACGTTTGGCTCCACAATTTTCTCAGCGGCATGACAAGAAGACCGGCCGCCTAGACGACGTCTTGTGGTTATTGCTTTCGAGGTTCTGTGCTGCATAAATGTGCGGCTGAGGCTGGCTGCAACGGGACTTAGTCTAAGGATCGCAGCTGGATTTTCTATAATGTATGGCACGTGCGGTGCACCAACCACAGCAGAATCATAAACGACGTACAGACGAAAGGTTCCCACTTCGTTGCTGCTGCTGTAGTCTACGTATTTTTTGTCGGGTAAATCATTTCCTCACGTCATCTACAGAATCACAAAGTTGAAGAACATACTGCAAGTCCCTCCATCACCTACAATAGCAGCTCGAACTCTTTGGTCTAGCCGGCGAGGGGCGGAGAATGTTCGTGTGTCTGGATACGAGCATGGTAGATCTGCTAGCAGCACGGGGGGGGTACGTAGACAGGAGCATGCGTATGCCTGAAAAAGGCTAATATGTGTGGGCCCCCCTTCCCCGAATTCGGGAGGGCCACTTCTTCCCTTCCTTTCCTCGCTCCCGCGGGTGCCTAATAAGAGAGAGTCAAAGCGTGTCTTCTCCTCCCAAGTACGGACATACCAACACACTAGTGTTTATTCCCTCGAGGGAGTCCATTAGGGATGGCGGGCCGCAGAACCGGAGGGACCACTCCGGACGACTCGCAGGCAGGAGACACAAATAGCAGCAAGCAGATCGACAGCATGCGGAGATCAGTTCGCTGACACAGCAAATGGGCCAGCTGGTGCAGCTGGTCGGAGGACTTGCTGCACGTATAGAGGAGAAGTCCGGCGGTGCCACGGAGGGCGCCGCTGAAAGCGGCGGCGCTGTGGAGAGCGTCGCCACAAGCACTGCAGGTCATTTTGGGACCGTGCAGTACGACGGGAGCGCGCAGGCAGCGGACCTGCGAAGAGAGTCTGGTCCTTCGGGACGACACAGCGGCGAAGTAGGGGGTTGAGACCCCCAAGAGGTGAGAGTAGCCGCTGCTCACAATCAAGCTTGTTTCAGCAGCGCCATGGGAAGTGGTGCTGCTGTCTTCGGTAGTGCGAGCGTGGGATACAAAAGCGTGAAGTACACAGCGCCCACGTTCAGCGGAGACGCCAAGAGCTTTTCTTCGTGGCTAGAGGATTTTTTGATGGCAGCGAACACAGCAAACCTTCTTGAGCTTTTCGAGGAGGGGGGG